GCCTAGACCCTTCATCAGAAGAAGGGTCTAGGCCCGAAACGTCAGCCTCTCTGCTCCTATGATGCTGCTTGGCCTGCTGTGTTCATCCAGCCCTGCACCTTGTTGTCTCGGATTCTCCAGCATCTGCAGTTCCTACTATCTCTGATTCGATTTCCTCCATCCAGTTGGATGTCATCAACAGATACATATTCCCTTTCCTTGTCAACATTCTGCAGGGACCATTCCCTCTGGGAGACCTTGGTCTACTCCTACTCCACTCCCAGACCTCCCCATAGCCCCATGACAACTTCCCACGGAATTGCAGAAGATGTAACCCTTGGCCCCAGATACCATTTCCGCCACATCCACCAGCATGCCACCAGATACCTATTCCCCTACCCTCCTTGTCAGCATTCCGTAGGGACTGTTCCCTCCAGGATACCCTGGTCCACTGCTCTCCACTCCAAACACCTCTCCACACCCCATTGGCACCTTTCCATGCAATTGCATGGTAGAAGGTAGGAGGGGAAAGATCCCATTGTCATGGTCCACATAGCTGCCAATAATATAAGCAGAAAGCTAAAAGAGATTCTGCTGAAGGAATATGAGCAGCTAGGTGCTAAATTAAAAAGCAGAATCAATAAGATTATCTCTGGATTACAACCTGACCTACAAGCTAATTGGCACAGGGTCAACAAGATTAAAGAGGTAAATACTTGGTTCAAAGATTGGCATGGGTGAAATAGGTTTAAATTCACAGGACATGGGCATTATGCTAAGACCAGAGTTCTGGCGAATTGCGTAAGTAGGACAGTAGATAGGGCTTTAAACTAAATCGTTGAGGCAGAGGGGTTCCAGTTGCAGGAACAATTATGAAATGAAAGATAAAGGAGAAGGTAAGTTTGCAGGTTAGTGATGGAGTTGATTGCTACCTGAAAATAAAAGAAAAGAATAGAATGTATGAATGTCATATTGTACCAAGGAACCATAAAAGTGTAGGGAAATTTAATAATAGAACAAACTTAAAGACTTTGTATCTTAATGCACAAAGTTTCCAGAATAAAGTAGATGAATCAAACACAAAAATCAAGTAAATGAATGTGATCTCATAGCCATTATGGGAACATGGTTACAAGGAAATCAAAACTGAAAACTTAACATTCAGGGATATTTGACCTTTTGGAGAGACAGGAAAGATGGAAATGGTGGTGGTGTAGCACTGTTAAATGACATGAGGACAATTGTGGTCTAGGCTTGGATGATGTAGAGTCCATTCGGGCAGTGGTGAAAAACAGCAAACAAAAGAAGAGATTGGTAGAAGTAGTGCATAGACTCCCAAACAGTAGCCAATCTGTGTGAAAGGCTATACATTGACATATAATAGGAGCATTTTTTAAAAATGGCAATAATTATGACTGACTCTAATCTTTGAGTTGATTTGGTTAAGCAGATTGGAAAGGGTAGTTACGACAGTAAATTCATTTAAAGTAGGGAAAGTTTCCAAGAGCACTATGTCATGGAACTAACCAGGGAAGAGGTATTGGATCTAAGTAATGGGTAATGAGGCAAGTTTAATAAATGACCTCTGAGTAAAATATCCCTAGTGGTTTTAACATGATAAGAGTTTAATTCTCAGTTCAAGAGTGAGAAACTTGGGTTGGAAACAATTGGGTTAAAGTGAACTGGGCAGAGAGATTAGCAGGAATGACAGTAAGCAAGCTGTGGCAGACATTCAAGGAGGTGATTCATGACTCTCAGCAAAAAAGCACTGGGGAGGGTGCAGAGGCGATTCAGCAGGAAGTTGCCTGGGATGAAAAGTCTCAGTAATGGAGAGAGATCGATAGGCTGGGCTTGTTTTCCTTGAAACAGAGGAGGCTGACAGGGCCTGTGATTGAGGTATACAAAGTTATGAGAGGCACAAAAAGAGTAGATCATGAGAGTCTCTTCCTCATGGCAGACATGTGTAAGACCAGAGGTTTAAGGTGAGGAGTAAGTGGTTTAGAGGAGATCGAAGGAAAAATAAATTAACCCAGAGGGTGGTGGTAACATGGAACATGCCGCCTGAGAGGGTGGTGGAGGAAGGTACTGTTGCAACATTTATGAAGTATCTAGATGAGCACTTAAAATGCCAGGGCATAGAGGGCAATTGGCTAGGAGCAGGTAAATGGGGGTGATATAGTCTAGTACTTGTTGGTTAACATAGGCATAGTGGGCCAAAAGGCCTGTTCCTATGCTGTTTAACTCTATGACATTTTTATAACATCTTCTAGGTGAAAGCAGCAACTTAGCAACTTACCTACACTTCATTCAATCTAGTCTGCTATATTTGCTGCTCTCTCTTTGTCTTTCTGTGTCTCTCTCACACACACACACACACACACACACACACACACACACACACACAGAGAGAGAGAAGGGTCATGGTATTTGAAACAGTAACTCTGATTTACTTCCTACGGATGCTGTCAGATCTGTTGAGTTTCTCCAGCACTTCCTGCCTTTGTTTCACATCTCCAGCATCCACAATTCTTTGTTTCTCTTTACAGAAATGAAACGCTAATTGACCTTATCCTCAACAATTTATGTCAGATATTACTATCCAATACAATATTGATTAAATAGCCACCACACCATAGCTTATGGGGACAAAGTACTGTTTCACATTGAGCACACACTCCTTCAAATTGTTTGGCAACACCACAGTGCTAAGTAGGATAGATTCAGAATGGATGTAACAGTTCAAAACAGAATATCCAATGCAGCACAGTGTGCCATCATCATCAGCAGCAGAATTGCACACAACCACACTCCGTAACCTAATGATTGAGCATATCTGTTTGATCCGAGCATATCCTTAATGATTAGCCACATCCATTTCACTTCCCCAGTCACCTTTACAGCTACTGGCAGTGTGTTCCTACTCTTGAGGTTACAGTTGTACAGTTGCAATTGGTAGGTTTCAGTGAGGTAATCCATAGTGAAATATAGACATCATAGGAACTGCCGATGCTGGAGAATCTGATATAACAAGGTGTTAGAGCTGGATGAACACAGGGGCTAGACCCGAGGCGTTGGCTTTCCTGCTCCTCTGATGCTGCTTGGCCTGCTGTGTTCATCCAGCTCTACACCTTGTTATATGAAATATAAACATCATTGCTTTTTGCCAAATTCAGGTTGGTGAACAGCTCCCAGAAAATTCTTGATGGGTACAGTCTGCTGGTAAGAAGCTTTCTTCCCCATTTCCTCATCCCTCTTCCAGCAGCTTGTTTTGCTCTGTGACCCCTGTTCACTCTCTGTCATGCTTATTAATAACTACAAGTGTATCCATTTTTGGAAACCACATGTTTGTGCAACAGACTTGAACTCAGCGACTGTCTTTCATCACATTCCATGATGTTATTTTTTGAGACTTGGAAGAACTATGGTAACCAGCAAACATTTGTAAAATCATGGTAACAACCAGAATAAATCAATCAGCAAATAATCTGTAAGTAGTTGATTCTATTTAGTGGATTGGTGCTGAGGGAGAGGCATCCCTACAGCTCGATGTATTCAGCTGTGCAAGTTTAAGAAGGTGTGGTTCTTACTGAATGGTGGAGCAGGCATGAAGGGTTGATTGATTTACTCTTATTCCTCATTCATAAATTTGAATGTATGTCATATCTGGGGCTGATATCGGAAAGTCATGCAAAGAATGATCAGTGCATTTCTGGGTAGGAAAAAAGAAGCAAAACACAAAAAGACTAATGTGAGAGGCTGTTAAATGTTGGAAACAGTGTATGATATGACTCAAATTGAAGGAAGATGCTTCCATTCATTCACATTGAATATAATTTTGTGGCATATTGCAAATAAAGTTCCCAGGTACCCTCAGGCTTTTATGTACCACTGTGTATACAGCCACAGGAACTAATGAATAAATATTCCATTTCCATAACAGCACTTTAATAATTTCACCATGTATAAATTGTGTGGAAAAAAAGTTTAAAATTTAGACTGTATTTTCTGCACATCAAATGCATAGTTAGCTGTGAACCATGACCTCTCCAAGCATAACAGCTGCCTTACCTGTATGTTTAAGAGCATGCCGGTCAGTGTAAAACGATACTGGCAAACAGCTTGTGTTCGTAATCTTCACAACATGTACCTTGACAGTGCTGAGGATTACAAAGCCAAAATCGAGGACAAACTCAGGCAAATGACATCTGCAAAATTTAAAATCATGGGTGTAATACACATGTAATAGCATTTGTTCTCAAAATAATAAACAATAACTTAGTATTTCCAGCATGGGGTAGATGTGGCTGATTCGGTCATTTACTCTGAAGTTCGGGCAGGGTGGAAACTGAAGTTGAGAGTCTGGTGTGGGTAACAATCCAGCTTTTAGTGGACAAAAGAGTTAAAACATAGTAGAGTTCATTACTGCATTCAAAACCAGGAAAATGGTTTGGATCGGGGGTGATACATTCATACATACGTGCTTCCAAGGAAGGCAAGGAGAAGAAAGGGCATTATTAAAAACTGCAAATTACTTAAGATCAAAGATGTTACAACTAGTTTAGGTGGATTAGAAAGTGCTATCCAGTGGAGGGTTTTTTTCAGTTGACTGTGCACTGTGGTCCTTATCATGAGAGTTCAAATGCAGCATAATTACTGATGAAGGTACAGGAGTTTTAAGTTGGGAATTGACTCACTTTGCAGGTAAAACACAAGTTTCTTTCCAGACAATACAGTGTGGAGTCTTCAGAAAGGTCCCGACCCAAAACTGCCTGGCCTGCTGTGTTCCTCCAGCTCCACACTGTATTGTGTCTAACTCCAGCATCTGCAGTTCTTGCTATTTCTTTCCAGACATCAACCTTTTGAGACATATTGAGATCAGACGCAAATGTTTTGTCTAGAACGGGTTGCTATTCTGATGTGACAAGCAGACTTAGAATCCTAGAATCATAGAATCATTCAGCATGGAAACAGATCCTTCGGTCCAATCAGTCCATACAGAACATAATACCAAACTAAACAAGTCCCACCTGCCTGCTCCTATAGTTAAACTCAGGACTCCTGGCTCAGAGGTGGGAACACTACCACCATGACACATGAGCCTGCATTTTGAATTTTATTGCATTGCTGTTCAAGAGGTGTCAATTACTTTGTTTAGTTTATTCAATCAAAACAATATGAAAGAAAGACTGAGCTGGTTTGAGAACATGGAGTGCATCATCACTGACAGACCCATCAAAGCATCATTTTAATTGGATAATTTTACTTGATTTTTCCGTTTGTTACAATAATGTTACAGTATCATTTCCCAGTGGGTTGATTGTTTCTTTATCTGACTACATTTTATGTTTTCAAGGAGAATAAAGACTTTTGGGGTTTTGGTAGGCAGATGTTAGGCATACATAATCCTACATTCTGTAAATAATCTGACAGTCAAAAAATGGACTTCTGTTTAGTTTCATACTTCGCCATCTGACTTGGGATCTAATTAACATGCAAATGAGATTTTTGGCAGACGTCTTAGCATTCATATTTCAAAGGCCTTATTTTCTCCCACAACTCTTTCCTTCTTGTCCAGGTTTCAGCAATGTACAGGAAAGTGGCAGAGTATGAGTAATTTCCTTGTTTGAAGTTTGAGTTTTCTTTTTATGAATGATCCTTCAGCTTTGCAAAATTACTTTTGGCTATTCCTACTTTTCTTCTAACATGGCATCAAAACAACTATCTTTTGTTATCATTTGTCCTGAATTGACAGACTTATCTCCTTTTTCCTGTGTGACACTATCCACTTCAATCTTCAGTTTCTGCTCATGTATTCCTCATAAATACCATTGTTTCTGTCTTTTGCATGTTTGTTCTTAAACCATTTTTACACTTTTAGATTTTACTGATTGACAATATCTTGAAAATTTACTTTTGATTCTGCAAGTGGCACCATGTCATCAGGGTAACACCAGTTTGTAATGTTCTTGCCTCCAATTTTTACCCCTTTAAGTGCAATCAATTCTATGAATAGTTTTTCTATATATAGATTGAATCATCTTAGTGTCAGTATACATTCTTGTCATACTCCTCTTTTCTCTTGAAATATATCCGATTGGCCTTTCCAGCCTATTTCATTTCAGTCTAGGCTCTGGATAAATCTCATCACCTATTATCAACATCACACTTCAGCAATGTCTAATAGCTTTTGGTAATAAACACAATTGATTTTTTTTTGTAGCCCATGAAACATATGTTAATATTCTCATTTAAGTCTTTACTGTCCAGATCAGTGAAATAATCCTCAAGACATCAAAACATTTGACCATTTGGAAAAAGAACAGACCATTCGTTACATGCAGCACTTTTATAATTTGAGTATTATATGGAATTATCATCCAGTTTCAAGGTCCATGATCACTAATCCATATGAAAAGGAACCCCTCAATTAAGAAATGTGATAACCTTTAACCTATGGAAGTAAAATCAAGTTATTCTCAGTGGCCACAGGTTGGACTGTGTCTTCAAGACAAATACCAACTTGCGCTGAACAGACTATTGCAGTGCAGCAGGTGAAGTAGTAAAGAACGTACTTCAGCCAGTGACAGTAGAAGACCACAGCCATCAAGTCACTTGCTACAAAATATGCAAATATATATAATGTGACTACTTCATATCTGTAAGTTGCCTGGCTTTTGGTCCTTGATCTTTCCCTTGGGTCAAGAAACAAACAAATTGGCATTTCAATAATATTAATTGTGGTGATGAAACATGTTCATTGTTGTGCATTTGGGAAATTTTGAAGAGGGACTGATTGTATTCTTCTCTTGACACTCAAAGATTGTAATGAGACCATAGGATATTACTGAGCAGTAGAAAGGTTTATGCAGCATAGAGTTGGCACATATTCATAGAAGCAAACACTACAGAAGAGGCCCTTTTTGGTCCATCAAGACTGTACTGTCAAAGCTGCACTAAATCTACACAGTTCCACTTCCCCACATTAGGCCCATTGCCTTGAGTATTGTATCACTTAAAGTGCTCATTGAAGTATTTTTTCAACATTGTGAAGTTTGCTGCCTCAACTGTCCTCCCAGGCAGTGAATTCCAGACCTGTACCACCCTCTGGGTGAAAAAGCTTTTCCTTAAATCCCCTGTAAATTTCCTGCCTTCCACCTTAAAATTATGTCCCCTTATTATTGATCCATTCATCTATGGGAAACAGCAGCCTTCTATTCACCCTGTCCATGCCCCTCATAATCCTATATACTTCTATCAGGACCCCCTCTCTGCTTCAAAGAAAACAACTGAGCTTATCCAGCCTCCCTTCATTGCTGAGATGCTCCATTCCAGGCAACATCCTGGTTAATATCTTCTGCACAGCCTTCAGTGAAATCACATCCTTCCTATAGTGTGGAGACCTGCACACAGTACTCCTCTAGCTGTGACCTAGCCAAAGTACAGCTCCAACATAACTACCCCTGCTCTTATAATTTATGCCTTGCCTAATAAAAGCAAGTTTTGTGTATGCCTTCTTAACTACTCTACTAACCAGCCACCTTCAGGTATTTGTGGACAAGCATCCCAAAATCCCTCTGTTCCTCTGAACTTCCTTGTGTCCTGCCATTCATACATAGTGCAGCTTTCTAGAATGAAAACGTTTGTAATTCTGTAGAGTGCTGTTAAAATACATTATAAGGCAACAGTGTACAATTAAACATAATGTGTACAGGCATACATAGGAGGATTACGAACGTGCGGAACCTATTCAGTGGCTACAACCAAGTTGATCTCAATCTCAACTACTTTACCAGTTTCCCTGAAACCAACAGGTTCCTTTCCACAGTCTGATCTGCAGTGAGACAACATTGATTCAGGCAGCTCTCACACGGCATTTCAGAAAGGATTATTCTCTATTCCAAAAGGACTAATAGTCCTGCTTGTCCCTTGCTTATCATGATTTAAGAGAAGAATGTACATTCTGGAGAAACCGTATTAATGCTGGTGAACTAAAGGCTACATAGTATCACGAACACTGAACACTATGTGATGATTATGTTTCAAAATATCACCCCTAATTTAGGCTCAGACAGAACATACTGGATAGGTGGTATGTGGAAAACACTAAACTCCTGCCTGGGGACAGGCCCTTGTAATCTGCTTGTCATGTGGGAAAGAAACCCAAAGCAAAGCCTACTGAAAATGAAGTGACAGTTTTGACACCTTGACACTAAGAGTGGGACAGGTTTGGAGAAGTGGTAGCTACAGAGAGAAACAAAGGAGTCAACTGCCTAAAGCAGGAGCAGCATTTAATGTGAATAGCAGGGTAAATTCTTTTTTATGTTAACAACTAAGCAGAATGTTTGGAAAGTAAGGTTTTCTGTTCAAAAGCAGATGGACAAAACAGATGAGAATTGTGGAGATTTAAGAGGAATAAGATGGTCTTTGCTAATGGAACAACAGTTCTGGAATACTCAGGCTGAGAGGAATGATTTTCAAAAACCACAAAGATTTGATCTGGCATGGTAGGGAGAAATGGGCCTGCTGGAAAGCTGGGAGCAACTTGGAACTTCATGGTAAACGTCACATATCTGTCAGAAGTTTGTTTCAAAGTAAGTATTGAATATTTTGGTTATGTTAAATAGTCAATATGAAAGAATGTTTTTGTCACAAAAAATGAGAAGGAATTAATATTTCAGTCTAATGCTTAGCCTATACTGAGTTTAGCTTATTTATAACGCAAAAGTCTTAAAACATGATATCTTGCCCTTTGTTTATTTCTGCTTATTGTTGGGAAATACTTCTTTTTTAAAAGTTGTCAGTCTTTACAGAAATCATGACAGTAGTAACAGTAACAGTCTGCCTAACAAACAATCTAGACATTTTAATACTTGGTAAGGAATGGATTTCCTCTATCATCCCACTACAGCTGCCATTTTTGACGAGGAAGCATTGAGAACACTGCATCTGCATGATCTTATCCTCCTGCCATCTGACCCAGTTTCTGAGGCAGCATGTGGCATGTGGACATGAAGAAACAAGAGGTTTTTTATTATAGTAAATTACTCTCCCAGCATACCATCTGGCACCTTTCTGTTGCCAGAGATTGCAGCATAAACTGTCGATGTCAGAATTCCTGGTAGCATATTTTGTTCAGCCTACATAGATAAAATAATTAATTAAGTAAGCCAAGGACATTAAAATCACCAGATTTATGAAAGCACAT